TCTCGTTGTTTGCTCTTCCTGGGCAGTTTTTTGAAGGAGGGACTATTCCGGCAACCAAAGCCTACACGTCAATATGCCTTGCTGCGGATTCTTTTGGGTGGACGATGATGAATGTTGGCTTGACCAGCTGCCCTTCGGATGATCTTTCTTGGCAACCAGGGATTTCGATGCTAAATCTACGTGCTGGAAGCTATTTTGATTTTTGGCATTCTGAGTCCTGTTAGCTGTTAGCTTTGCTCTTTTGATTACTGTATTTTGTCTTTTCCTCTGCTGAATGTTCTCTCTCAGCTAGAGGTTTTTACTGCTTCTTTTATTTAGTTGTATTCATTCTCCTTTTATTAATTGAAACTGGCTTAGGCCCCAAAATTACCCAAAAAAAACAAAGAAAACCATATTGCTATCAATCAGTTGATAAGTGAGAACTGAGGGAATAAACTTAATCCAACTTCTTCGACGTTTATATGAAAAAAAACTGGTTTTTTCTGATTTTATGTATTGTCAAGTCAGAGAGGCAATTTACCTTTTTTCTGTGCTTGTTTTGGCACCATCTTACTTGACATGACAGTTTTTTTTTTTTTTTTTGCAGCAGCTACACAAATGAAAAAGCCAGGCAATTATTTGTCTTACATTTCCTTTTTTCTGCTTCAGTCTCTTTATTCTCTTATTTTCGCTGCACTGAGCACTATATTTTCTCCCACAGTTTGCGGTGGAGCTTAAATCATCTGAGGTCATAACTCCTAAAAAACAACAATTTAACCATCTCGATTTGATCTCTTCTGTATAGAATTTACAGAGGTCCAATTTTGAAGAAACTGCATTGTGTTGTCATGTTAAGAGTCATGAAGACTGCTCATCATCTTTTCTCTGAACACTTCAGTCAGACATGAATACAGAGCTGTAAGAGATTCTTCTCATCTCTCTTATCTTTTTGAGGATCTTTTAACGATCTAACTTATCAAATGTTTTTTTTTTTTTTTTTTTAAAGAGTAAATTGAGGAAGAAGGTCATTCATTCATGAGAGGAATCAGCCTTAATTTTCAAGGAGAAAAATTTATAAGTAAAAGTGTATATATTTCACAGATATGTCCGAGGTCCAAGGGGACAGCGTCCTCTGACGAGGTTTGACCTATCCGGCTAGGTCGAGGGGTCAAGGAGCAGTGCCCTTGCAATGATTTCCAGAGTCAGCGCCCCCAAAACAAATTTTGATTGTAAGAATATTTTTGGATTCTCTTTACTATATCTCTTTGTATTTGGTTTATCGTTCCCTAACAATAACACGTATACACAATGTGTTTAATTATGCTATAGGCAACTGTCTAAAGACCATAGTGCCTAATTATAAATGTGATAACAAATTATAACTAAACACAATATAAAATATATCTCTGATATAGGAGAGCTGCAACAAAAACGCCAATGCTCAAAAAGACACCGAATAAAAAGATTGCATAAAGAAAAATTCTAAAGATTAAATTCAAAAAATGGTCTCAGAAATGGCCAAAAAGTGCCCAAATAGCATGAAATCATCGAGAGAATTCTCCATTATTCATTGCTCTCCAAATGTAATAAACAACACAAGAAAACAGAGATAAGGCTATTCATTCTACTTGTTTCAGATGAAATGTTGTAAAGTTTGCAGTAAGTTCGATATTATGAGAAAGCTGGAAACAGGCTGCAGAATATTGCATGGAACCAATAAATGAGTAGTGGTTTTGTTCTAAGAACAAAAATATTTTTAATGGAGATTACAATATAAAAATAAAGAACTTTGATGTACATTGTTGAATATCTCCTATGCATGTAATGATATCTCTTAATACCAACTTCTTCCACGTTTATATGAAAAATACTGGTTTTTTCTGATTTTATGTATTGTCAAGTCAAAGAGGCAATTTACCTTTTTTCTGTGCTTGTTTTGGCACCATCTTACTTGACATGACAGACTTTTTTTTTTTTTTGCAGCAGCTACACAAATGAAAAAGCCAGGCAATTATTTCTCTTACATTTCCTTTTTTCTGCTTCAGCCTCTTTATTCTCTTCTTCCGCTGCACTGAGCACAATATTTTCTCCCATAGTTTGCGGTGGAGCTTAAATCATCTGAGGTCATAACTCCTAAAAAACAACAATTTAACCATCTCGATTTGATCTCTTCTGTACGAACTTTTATTACGTCCGGTATAAGCACGTCGTCCGATTGGAGGCAAAATCCAGTCAAAAAACTCGATATTTGTTTGGTACAACTAGGTATTATTTGATATTAACGAGAAATATTATTCTTTGAAGACCAATACCGAGTTATACTGAGCTGTACCGATAAATACCGAGTTGTACCGAGTTTTTCTAGGAAAAACTCGGTACAAATTTTGTATAACTCGGTATTTCTCGGTTTAGCTAGGTATAACTCGGTATTGGGTCTTCAAATGATGGTATTCCTCGTTATTTTGATTGGAGTCCGAATGACGTCTAGGCTCTGCCCATAATAATTGCTCCTATTTCATCTTGAATGCATATAAATGTTTTAATATAAGATTTTAAAGAAAACTTTCTACTTTAATTATTGGCCATAAATTCTTTTACTTGCTAACTACAATGGCATTATTTTGAGTGGGGCTCATCTGTAATTTCTCCGATGTCAGCTTCTCTTAATAACGAGTTGGACGATAAATTATTCTATGCGATCACCGGATGCTATCCAGAGGCAAATCACGACGCGCCACATCACTTTTTTGTTGTGCATCGATAATGTGTACCACTGTGTTCTGGATGGCATGACTCATCCTGATTCACCTCCGGACAATCCGATGACGGCACAAAATAATTTCCCCAATCGGACAGAGCCCTCAACAACTTTGATTAGACCTCTTCCATGTTTCTTTTGTCATGGTGCTCCATTGCTCCAATCACTTTTTTGACTATCTATATCACCACTACTAAAATCATTATTACAGGTTCATTTTCAAAAACTTCTCGGCTCTAAAAGACCAATTTTAACGCCTCATTGTTTCTTCCTGGAACGTGTTTGCTGAAGGGAAGCCCCTTTATGTCTTACATAAAAAGCTTAGGCAAAAGCTACTTCCTCGAAGATAGACAAAGAGCTAGATTTTATTTGGCTGACAAAGGGCGAAGAGATTTGGAAAACCTCAATAATAAGATCAAAGACGAGAAAAACATCGACCATAACAATGAATTAATGTCAATCATGCAAATTGGATGTGAATCCTTTAGCTAACAGCTTTCAGAACAATAAAGTTTCCCCTATTGAGCTTTCCTCTAACTTGATTTTGATTTCAAAAAGTAATCATCAGCCGAACAATGCATGTATACATAAATATCTTCATAGGTGTTTTAGCAAGTAATTATCGGGTTGTAATGGACACACTTGCCCTCAAAGAAGAATTCCCTTGGAACACTCGCCAGAGTCAACCTAGGAGGTTGCTCTATTCGAGACAAATCAATGATCATTGATCAACCAAGTAGATCGTCACTCACTGCTACCTCAGTCGTTAGCTCTCGAGCTATCATCCTCTCATCTAAGATCAGCTATAAGAGGGCTCTTACCTAGGGCTCCCTACTTGCTCTATAAATGTTGACCATAATATATACTCTCAGCTATCTCAATTCACTCACCCGTTCTCTCATAGTGATCCAAAACTCAACACAAGTTGTCCGCAACTCCCATACAACCTCACACTACAAAGTTCGTCCAACTCCGTGTCAGCTCACAAACTCCCCATTTATCATGGAGCTCGTCTTCTAACTCACTCGCCCAATACATACTCGACACTACCTCTATCGCCAAGAGGAGAATCCTTCATCCCAACTCTACCTCCAATCAAGAGATAACACGTATATAAAATGTAGTATAATGTTGTATCTTATATGTATAATATATGTAACGTTGTATTTTTACTATATTTTTTATAGCGACCATGGCGACATTGTTAGAGGACCTCAAAAAAATATAAAACAAAAAGATATTTTTGACTAAGAGAAAATTTTATACTTATTTGAGATCTTCAATTCTCCTCCACTCCCTCTGTGCATTCTCTATTCTCACACACATATTTCTCAACTCTACAGGTGAGCCACCTAATAATATGGAATATCATCTACAGAAAAATTTGAATTAACAAAATACATAATCACAATGATGTTGCTTAAGGGAAATATATTGACTTTGAAGTCATTATTTTCATATGGCTGATAGAGGAATTTCTGTTCTCATCATGCAGGCGGGTGGGAGGAGCTTTAAATGCTTATTTTCCTTCTGCTAAACAGCATGGAAAGCTGAAGCACTTTCAGCTAAAAGCTTTTGCGCAAGAACTTTCTGTGATATCAAAAAAAAAAAAGACCCCCACTCAAAGCATTGCTTCAAAAAGCTAATGGTGATCTCAGAAATCAGCATGAAGTTTAGGTTTAAGGAAAAAAGGCCAGGATTTGATTTAAGAAGTATTTCGTAAATCCGCTGCGATCTAAATCTTGAGTGTTAACATTCAGGATAAATCATATTTAATCTCGTATGACTGTTTGGCTATAGAACGGATTTAATGAGCAAACTCTTCCTCTCTCAGGCCAACGGATTTCATAAATCCAGCAAAAAACAGGATTTCGAAAATCTGAGATTTAGCATGAAAATACAGAATTTTCTGTATGCAGCGGCTTTCATTTGCCGTGAGATTTGGTTTTACATTTTAGGCGGTTTGTTGGAATTCGCTTAAATCCGTCTCAAATCCGTCCTAAATCCTGTTACCAAACAGCCCCTAAGGGGCTTATTTTCAAATAAAAAAATATGATTGTCTTACAAATTTAATTCATTTCATCTACACAGAAAAGATCCAAATAAGGAGAATTATGTTTGGAAAGGAAGACAGCTTTGCCCAACTTCAAAAAACAAACATGAACAAGGAAAAAAAAAAAGGGGGAAACACCCTGCAGTGAGCCTTTTGTAAAGCGAACAACAAAGCGTGCAGAGGGTAAACTAAGAAAACAAAACCGAAAAAGAAAAAAACGCAGGCGAAATGTATAAAGAAAACGCAAATCAAACCAGAAAATTTACAATTTGATTCACTACAGCCTTCCTCTTCCCCCAAATCTCAGCTACGCCGTTCACATCCTCCATGTGTAAGCAATCGGACTGCGCACTTTGTGCTGTTTGTTGCTCCAAGTCAGCCATCCAAACGCCGTCGTTCCAGTTCGCGGCGGCGGCGGCTTAGCGCTAGCTCCTCTCATGGAAACAAACGTGACGCTATACTTGAGCTTCTGTCCCACCTGTTTGAAGAAAAGCCTTGACGGCTTCACACTCACGCCTACGGTGGCCGGACCACCGACGCTCACTTCATAAACCAATCCCGCGGCTCCTACATTCGTCAGCTCTCGGCCGTACCTTACCACCTTAGTATTACCTGAAAAGATGACAGAGAAGGAAGGGTAATTGAGATCGCCGGGACTTTTCAGCCGACGTGAGCAGCTAAAATTGCTTCTCTTAGCGATCGCCTGAATGTGAGGAAGGGTGTAGTTCAGGGAGCACAAAAACGCAATGTAGTCATCAGTCGTGATATCGTAGACCAAACCAGGTTCGAGTGCTTTCTGAGGATCGACATGGCCGGCGCCGTAGGCCAAAGACGTCGCAGCCAATCCACCGGCGGCATCGCGGACGTGATTTCCAGTGTTATCGCGGGAATAAGCGGTGGTCATCAGCGCAGACTTGATCGCAGCAGGGCTCCAGTCCTGGTGAGCAGCCTTGAGCAGCGCTGCTAAGCCGCTAATGTGAGGGCAGGACATGGATGTCCCCGACATTATGTTGAACTGCGTTCTCCGGGCATCTTTTGGCATGCCGGTCGGCCCGACGGAGCCCGACCAGCCCGCGAGTATGTTAACCCCGGGCCCTATCAAGTCGGGTTTTAGAATTTCCGGCGTCACGGGGTTTGGGCCTCGGGAGCTGAAAGCTGCCACTACAGGCGAGGGACGGACTCCAACGACCGTGCCGCCGAAGCGGAGAACTGCTTTTGGTTTCTGATGGGAGATTATGTATTTCCGTATTTTATCGCCAGCGATCTTGCCCACGGCTACTGCCGGTAGGAGGTGGCTGTCGGCGACAAGCTCCTCTCCATTCGCCGCTGTGTTGGCAAGAATCATACCGACGCCGCCGGAGTCTCGAATGACGGCGCCCTTCTCCACCCGCGCGCTAACACCGCGATCGCAGAGTACTACTCTGCCTTTTATGTTCGCCGGGTCCAGCGTGCCAGATAGACACATTCGACTGGCGTTGTTCCGGTTATCGTAGAAGAGGGGAACGAGAGTTTCCTCCATGCCTTCACCGCTGTAGAGAGACACACCAGCAAAACGGTCGCCGGAGTCAAGGGTGACGTAAGCCGGGAAATCTCGATCGATTGTGCCAGCGCCGACTGTGGCTATCCATGGGGCAGAGTTGGTGATGCTTCCCCACCCCGGGCCGCTGTTTCCTGCGGAGCAAGCGACAAAGATACCACGCTCGGCGGCTGCGAAGGCGCCAACCGCGATAGTGTCGCGGAAGAATGGCGCAGTACCGCCGCCAAGGGAGAGAGAGAGGACGTCTACGCCGTCGGAGATCGCACGATCGATACCAGCAAGGATGTCGGAACCAAAGCAACCCGAGGCCCAGCAGACCTTGTAAGCAGCGATGCGGCAGGCGGTACACATGCCTCGGGCGGTGCCAGAGGCGTAGCCGAGAAGACTGGCATTGGCGGCAGGGCCGCCAGCGGCGGTGGAGGCGGTATGGGTTCCGTGACCATCGCGATCGCGTGGAGAGTCATATTCCTGTGGAGGCTTACCCGGAGCGCCAGAGCCAGCAAGAAAACCGCGAGAGAAAGCGCGGGCGCCGATGAGTTTACGATTGCAGAGAGAAGGGGCGAAGTCGACGCCGGCTTCACAGTGGCCGCGCCATCTGGAGGGGATGGGAGGAAGCGAGGCGTCATCAAAGGAAGGGGATTCGGGCCAGACGCCGGTGTCAAGGACGCCGATGATGACGGAGCCAGAAGCAGCATCGGCGGAACGGAAAGGGGATGAAGGGGAAGAGGGAGAAAGTCCGAGGAAGAAAGGGGTTCGAGTGGTGTGGAGACGAATCAAGGGGTCGGGGTGAAGGTGTAGGACGGCAGGGGAGCGGCGAAGGATGCGGAGGTGCCGGGGGAGTAGGGAGGCGGCAGCGAAGGCGTGAAGTGCGTTGGAGTAGGAGTAGATCAGGTGCCGTGCTGGGTCAATCGAGAGTGAAGCGAGGTGGGATGAGTACCAGTGAGCATATGTTGGGTGAACGGACGGTTTGTAATCCGGATTCATGTATACTATATAGGTCTTGTTACCAGAGACCAAATGTGTAAACCAGAGGAAGAAGACGATGGAGATGAGGACAAGTGGCATACCAGCGCTTCGGCTTCTCTTCGATGCTGCAGCCATGGCCGAGAGAGAGAGAGGAAGCCGACAGCGTTCAAATAGAAGGAGATGAAGAGAGATAAACAGAAGGGTGGATATAGTGGGTCGCACTGAGATAGTGAGATTTTTATGCGAAACGATGTTGAAGTGGCCGTAGATAATGAAAGGAATCCAGAAGCGAACGGTAATTACACCAACAAAAAGGATAAATTTTTAAAGTTATTTACATAAATGGCATAATAGAATATAACTGCATTTCACATGGTGCGATTGTAAATTTGGCAGAAAAAACGGTGGACACTTTTATTTATTCGCGCCGAGAACAGTGGCAGGTATGGTTCGTAGGAAATTTTAGTGCGGGAGACCGCTCTGCTTAATTCTATGCGAAAGGCCTGATCCACCGTTACCTATTGAAAAGGAGATATCCCGTATGGGCCTGTACGTTCGGAGATTGGACTACTGTACGGGAGATACGATCTCGTTTTCAGAGCTTTATGCGGGTATCATGGCTTTGTGGGCCGAGACATAAAGTTGCTCAGCCGTGGGTCTGGAGAGTTGGGCCCACTATATGGAGGAAAATCGTGCTGTTTCTTTTTAAGAAGAAGATAGTGGTCCACTAGGTCGGGGTAATTGCGCTCGAAGTGCGGTTCGCCATAAGGGTTTTAAGGGAAAATCGTAAAATGGGAGAAAAAGTAGAATGATTTTTTTAAAAATCTTGAATACAGAGTAAAAGCGGCGATTCGGGCTAGGGTTTCCTCTCCCGCCTCCATCGGTTCCCTCCTGGTACCCTCTTCTTCCCTCCCTCCCTCCGGCTTTGCCGGAGGTCTCTTCGTCTTCTGCTAATGGAGGGTGGTTCCCTTTGCTCCGCGGATTTCCCTCCGTTAGTCAAGTCTCCGGGCAAGTCTTCCAGGTTCACTCCTAAGGATTGGAACTTGGTTTTCGCGCCAGAATCTTCGTCTCCTAAAGCCCTAAAGCTATCTCATTTTCCTTCTGAACCAGAGATTGTGCCTTTCTCTGATGAAAAGTTGTCCAAGGGCGGTGAGGACTGGAGCTTGTGCTTGGTGGGTTACTGGGAGGAGAAGAATGAAGAGAATAGAGGAATTTAAAGATCTCTTGACACTAACCACCGCAGGAATTCCTCTTGACCACCGCCGGAGTTCTTCCCGACCGTCGTCAAAGTTTCATCTTGACCGCCGCTAAAGTTTCTTCCTGACCGTTGTTGGATATCTTCTTGATCGTCACCGAAGTTTCTTCCTATAATCGTTGGAGTTTCTTCCCCACCACTGTCAGAGTTTCTTATCGACCGTCGCTTAAGCTATTCTCAACCACGATCTTACTTCTGCCCGTTCATCAATCATTGCCAAATTTATGTTCAATTACTCAATCTGTTGTAATTCCAGCATCTTCAAGTAAATGGGAGAATCAAACTTTGTAATAAAGGTAGGAAGAGAATGGAGGAATTTTGAAACTCTCTTGCCACTGACCACCGCTAGAGTTCCTCCCCGACCACCGCCGGAGTTCTTCTTCCAGACCGTCGCCGAAGTTTCTTCTCGATCATCATCGGAGTTTCTTCTTGACTGCCACTGGAGTTTCTTCCCAAAAGTTGTCGGAGTTATTCCCTTATCGTCGCTGAAGTTTCTCCCCAATAATTGCTGAAGTTTCTTCCCCACCACTACTGGAGTTTCTTACTGACCGTCGCTAAAGCATTTCTCAACCACGATCTTACTTCTGCCTGTTCATCAATCATTGCCAGATTTTTATCCAATTATTCAATCTGTTGCAATTCCAACATTTCCAAGTAAATGAGAGAATCAAACTTTGTAATTAATTAAAACATAGTGGAGTTTTCTCATCTGGGCCAGGCACCGTTGTTTTTCCTATTATGAGTTTTCCACTTAAAAAAACTTATGGTGTTTCTCTCTCTCTTTCAATTATCTTTTGGTGTAACGGATATACATACATTGTCAAGATGCTATATTTTTTACTCTACTGCCTCATATGTTCTCGTATGATAATTTTATTTCAAGACAAATAAATAGTACATAATTAATTTTGCATTAGTATGATCATATTTTAATATGTTAAGTTGATGAGATTTGTTACATGTTGAAAATGTTATGTCATTAAAGTGAAATTTTTACATCCTAGCTTGTATAAATATCAAATATATATACTAATAAAAGAGAAAAATATATGATGCACCAAAATTTTTATATGAAAACTCTAAAGGAAAAAAGAATACATGATCTGGCCTAGTTTAAATATTTTATTGATATATCATCAAAAAATTATCTTGATTGGACACGAATCTTGAGGTAATATCAAGTTGGAAACTTCTGAAATAAAATCTAGGAATATTTGGACTTCGATTTTAGCGAACTTACAGTCAAACTGAACGTTTCAAAAATGTGAACCCAACGACATCAAATCCAACTCAATTCGAGCCCAAATGTGTCCAAATCAAAGACTCGAAGCGCATTTGGAAAGTTCATATCATAAATTGGATGACCAAACGATTTTCAAACATGACATGCTTATAGTCGAATCGAGCAGCTCGACGGGACAAATACAACAAGGCCAAGATCATTGAATTTTGATATCATTAAGATATTCAAATGCCCAATAAAACGTCCACAATCAAGGGATCAAAATTCAACTCATAATTCCTCTTGACCTTCTTGAAAGGAGAAATGGAAGAGAAGATGGAGAGAGTAGGTTGAAATGTGAAAACATGGTTTATCTATTGCTTTTGGCTTATCTCTTGAATGCCTTATTACAAATTTATTGTGTCTATTTATAGACACTAAATGGTAGCTCAAAGCGCTACACAAGATTCTAATCAAAGCATCATGAAAGGCTACAAAGAAACCTAACTAAAGAAATTACAAACCGAGAAACTATCTAAATCTTGTATCAATATCAAACAAAAAACAATAAGAAAACGGTCACAAATAAATCATAAGACTTCATTTGGAATAACTTTTAATCACTACTTTTTTAATGTTCAAAATTAAGCAATAAGTTAACATATCTTCTACAACAAAGCTAATTTGATTCAAACTCCAATGCCAATTTTAATTTACCGGGAAGATAAAAGAAAAGGCCAGAAAAGCAGGAAGAAAAGGAGTCTGTTCAGTTTAAATAAAAAAGGCTAACGGCTAGTAGATTCAAAAGATAAATGGTGGGGCTAAATGTGAAGTGCACTGCAAGCAAGAATAATGGCGAAGGTAGCAGCTGGAAAGTATGGAAGGCTCCGTCTTCCTTTCTTCTCCCAGTCAAAAAAGAAGCTATTATTAAATGTGTATGTGCACCCTACAGCTATTCATCAGTGCATGTGAGATGATCGAACTTTTCTTTTTTAAGTGGAATATGTCTCTCTTCACAGACATCCTCAAATTTTCAATGAGTTTATGCTTTGTTTTTGTTTTTTTTTTTAATATTGAAATCAATTAAAATAAATTCATACAGATCATATATATGGGATTCAAATTCTAAATCTCTTAGATTTCGTTTGGGACAACTTTTAAAACATCATTCAAATAAAAAGGAAACTTTTTTGCGCTAAAAAGTTGCTTTGAGAAGCAATAAGAAAATAGTCTCAAACAAGAACTTTTATTTGGTCCGGTGAACGTAGAGCTACGTTCGACCGGCACTAAGATTGCAGGCACAAAAAGAAAAATACCGAGTAAATACCGAGCAATACCAACAATAACGAGAAATACCATTATGTGAAGACAAAATACCGAGTAATCACAAAAAATATCGAGTTTTTTCTAGAAAAACTCGGTATTTTTTGGGATTACTCGGTATTGCTCGGTATTGATCTTCACAGGGCGGTATTCCTCATTATTACCAAACAATACCTAGTAATACCGACCAAATACCGAGCAAAAACCGAGTAACAATCCTCTGACCGAACGTAGAGCAACGTCCGGTCAGAGGACGTAATAAAAGTTCCTTAAACAAAGCTTGAGTTGGGAGCTATGTTTGATAACCAAAACTCTCAGCTAACAAATCAAGATGAGCTATGTAGCTTGTGCTATGCTCTTTTGGATAGAAGTTTGACCATCCAAATTATGGTAAGAACAATAATTTTTTGTTTAGTATTTCTTGGTTAGATCGATAGAAAAATTTGGGTGTTAATATTTGAAATTAAATATTTAATTGTAATATAATTATAAAATAATGGAATTATAAATTAAATTTAAAATTTATATTTTTTTCTATTTATAATTCATTATTCAATTCTCATAGAAAGTTGAAATGACTCATATCCATTCCTTAAGAAAAATTCTCATTAGTAAAATGCGAGAGAAATAAATTACACTCAATTTCTCAATTGGTGCAAAATAATTTAAGTGCAATGTTTTTTATTTATTTATTTTTATTGCGTTCTGTAACATTTACAGAGGTACAAATATATAGAGTTTAGCCTTCAAGCTTTGTATGAATATCCAGCATATAAAAAATAAGAAAGAGAGAGATGCGAGGGTCATAAGAGAATTAAGTTTTTTTAATGAAAAACTCTGACAAAGAAAAAAACTAAGGGATCTGACCTAGTTAAAATGATTATACTAATGTTTTTTGTAGATTGCAAATGAGGCCCTTGCTTGGGGGGAAGGCCTTAGCTTGATGTAGCAAATATACATCATATAGAGCACATTACATTCTAGTATTTGGAAGAATCTAGTAATATGAGAGTTGTTCTCAGGAGAGCGTTGGTATGTTCATTTGGTTAATATGAACATAGTCGGGCAAGGTTTGTCATATAGACTGTAGTCAAGCAACAATGATCGAAAGGTTCGTAGTCGACAGGCAACGATGGTCTGAGGGACCATAGTCGGAGGACGATAGAGGTCAGGTAACGCCGGAGCTGAGAAACATGGAACCCTGACGCTGGAGCTAACTAAATACTTCTGTATCCTGGTGTTATAAGCAACTTCAGAAAACTGTATTTGTTTGTGTTCTGTTAATCCTACTTACCTCCCGTATAGCCTTCTTTCTATGTAGTCGTCACTGTGCCGACAAGTGACTATAAAATGGCTAAAAGATAATGAATAAAGGATAGTTG